ACGCGACGCGGCGCGTCAAAGCTGCGTATGAGAAGCAGCGCGGCGTCATCGCCGCATCCGCGCTCGCGAAGCAGCCGCCCATGGCAGAGCTGCAGCAGCTGCTGCAGCCCGTGGCGGACGAGATGGTGGCCGCAGGGCAGCTAGCGGACAACCGGCGGTCGGCGGCGTTCCAGCAGCTCAAGGTGGTGGCTGAAAGCCTCAATGGCCTTTCGTGGCTCGCCTACACCGGGCCGGCCTGCGGTGAGCCTCGGGCCAACCAGAACGCAGGCTTTCACGGGCAGGACGGCAGCCGCAGCCGGGTTCGACAGGCACCAGGGCTGTCGAGGTCAGGGATGGCAGCTCCTGCGATGTTTGCCTTGCGGAGATGCATAATATCGTAATCACCAAAGGCACAGACTGAGACGCCTTGCAGCTCCGCTGGTCGCGCAGTGTCACAGCAGCTGCCCCGCATGGCGTGCGCCGCGCGCCATGCATCGCCGCTACCGGCTGTGTGGTTGGCCCCGAGCCAGCACGCGGACACACCGCCTCTAAATCCTCTACCCTCCCTCCCAACGACTGCACCACCAGGCATGCCGCTCCCCGCGCAGCACATCAGCGACAGTTGGAACTCTGCAGAGTTTTATGCCAACAAGCTGATGATGGCGCTCAAGGGCAAGGACGAGGCGCAGATTGCGTGGCTCAAGGCCATCAAGGTTGGTTGTTTGGGGTTTTCACGGGCGTTGGGGGGGAGCGGGTGTCAGTGCAGCACACATGATGGGTTTTACTAGCTGTGTGGCCTTCTTCTCAATCGGCAGTTGATGCTGCAAGCTGCCTCTTTGCGTCGTTTGGGAGTGAGTACGGGGTGCCGCGTGCTCACACACACACACACGCGCATGCACACACACACACCAACACACACGCATGCACACACACACACACACATGCGCGCACGTATGGTATGAACACGCGCGTGAACACACACACACACACACACACACACACTTTCTCACACACGCACACATGCATGTACACACACATACACGCACTCACATACACACACCTCAACCGCTGCAGGACCTCGCCGTCGGCCTGCAGCAATACGTGCGGCAGCACTTCCCAACCGGTCTCAAGTGGAACCCCGCGGGCTGCAGCATCGCAGATGCACAGCGGCAGGTCGCTTCGAGCGGTGGCGGCGGCGGCGG